TCACTGGGAAGTTCAAATTGGGTGGAGCCCACAGCAGTTCAGCATGGCCTCTGTAGGCAGACTGTGTCACTAGACTCCCTCCTTACTGGGCAAGGCATCTCTGAAAAGAAGGCAGCAGCCCATCAGGGACTTATAAAAGCCCCCACCTTCTTGGAACAGAGCACCTGGGTACAGGAAGCTGTTGTGGGTATAGCTTCAGCATACTTAAACATTCCTGCCTGGCAGCTCTGAATAGAGTAGCAGATCTCCCAGCACAGCATTCCAGCTCTGATAAGGGACAGACTGCCTCCTCAAGTGAGTCTCTGACCCCCAAGCCTCCTGACTTGGAGGCACCTCCCAGCAGGGTTCGACAGATGCTCCATATGGGAGAGCTCTGGCTGGCATCTGGTGAGTACCATTCTGAGATGAAGCTACCAGAGAAAGGAACAGGGAGCAATCTTTGCTGTTATGCNGTTGTGGGTATAGCTTCAGCATACTTAAACATTCCTGCCTGGCAGCTCTGAATAGAGTAGCAGATCTCCCAGCACAGCATTCCAGCTCTGATAAGAGACAGACTGCCTTCTCAAGTGGCTCCCTGACCCCTGTGTATCCTGACTGGGAGATACCTCCCAGTAGGGGCCAACAGACACTCCATATGGGAGAGCTCTGGCTGGCATCTGGTGAGTACCATTCTGAGATGAAGCTACCAGAGAAAGGAACAGGGAGCAATCTTTGCTGTTATGCAGGCCCTGCTGGTGATTTCCAGGCAAGTAGGATCTGGAGTGGACCTCCAGCAAACCCCAGCATACCTACAGCAGAGGGGCCTGACTGTTAGAAGGAAAACTAACAAACAGAAAGAAATAGTCTCAACATCAACAGAAAGGATGTCCATTCAGAGACCCATTCCAAAGGTCGCTGACTCAAAGACCAAAGGTAGCTAAATCCACAAAGATGGGAAGAAACCAGTGGAAAAAGGCTGAAAATTCCAAAAACCAGAATGCCTCTTCTCCTCCAAGGGATCACAACTCCTCACCAGCAAGGAAACAAAACAGGACAGAGAATGAGTTTGACAAATTGACAGAAGCAGGCTTCAGAAGGTGGGTAATAACAAACTTCTCCGAGCTAAAGAAGCATGTTCTAATCCAATGCAAGGAAGCTAAGAACCTTGAAAAATATGGATGAAATGCTAACTAGAATAACTAGTTTAGAAAAGAACATAAACAACCTGATAGAACTGAAAAACCCAGCATGAGAACTTCATGAAGCATACACAAGTGTCAATAGCCAAATCGATCAAGTGGAAAAAAGGATATCAGAGATTGAAGATCAACTCAATGAAATAAGGTGAGAAGATAAGATTAGAGAAAAAAGAGTGAAAAGAAATGAACATATCCTCCAAGAAATATGAGATGACATGAAAAGACCCAATCTATGCTTGGTCAGTGTACCTGAAAGTGACGGACAGAATGAAACCAAGTTGGAAAACATGCTTCAGGATATTATCCAGGAGAACTTCTTCAACCTAGCAAGGCAGGCCAACATTGAAATACAGAGAACACCACAAAGATACTCTCTGAGAACAACCCCAAGACACATAATCATCAGATTCACCAGGATTGAAATGAAGGAAAAAATGCTAAGGGCAGCCAGAGAGAAAGGTCTGGTTATCCGCAAAGGGAAGCCCATCAGACTCACAGTAGATCTCTCGGGAGAAAACCTACAAGCCAAAAGAGGCCAATATTCAACATTTTTTTTTGAGACATAGTCTCACTCTGTATCCCAGGCTGGAGTTCAATGACTTGATCTTGGCTCACTGCAACCTCCACCTCCCAGATTCAAATGAGTCTCCTGCCTCAGCCTCCCAAGTAACTGGGATTACAGGTGCCTGCCTCTACACCTGACTAATTTTTGTATTTTTAGTAGAGATGGGGTTTCACCATGTTGGGTAGGCTGGTCTCGAACTCCTGACCTCAGATGATATGCCCACCTCGGCCTCTGAAAGTGCTGGGATTACAGGCATAAGCCATCATGCCCAGCCTCAACTTTCTTAAAGAAAAGAATTTTCAACCTAGAATTTCATAACCAGGCAAACTAAGATTTAAGCAAAGGAGAAAAAAAATCCTTTATGGACAACCAACTGCTGAGAGATTTTGTTGCCACCAGGCCTGCCTTACAAGAGCTCCTGAAGGAAGCACTAAACATGGAATGGAACAACCAGTACCAGCCACTGCAAAAACATACCAGATTGGAAAGACCATCAACACAATGAAAAACTGCATCATCTGATGGGCAAAATAACCAGCTAGCATCATAATGGCAGGATCAGACTCACACATAACAATATGAACCTTAAATGTAAATGAACTAAATGCCCCAATTAAAAGACATAGACTGGCAAATTGGAGAGAGTCAAGACCCATCGGGCACTGTATTCAGGAGACCCATCTCGCATGCAAAGACACACATAGGCTCAAAATAAAGGGATGGAGGCATATTTACCAAGCAAATGGAAAGCAAAAAAAAAAAAAAAAAAAA